ATTCAATAATCTAATTTTTAAAATTATGATATAAATAACATAACCTTAAAAACTGAGCTCTAGTTTGTATTTAACGAAAAGAATAATAAACTGAAATATGGTTTGTACTAGTTATTGTCACTACTACAAAAAAAAACCTTTACTAGAACAGGGGACAAAAAAGTTATGGATAAAAATGTTATGCATTAAAATATGAATAAAATTAAAAATTATTTACTTTAGATTGACTCTTTAAGGGCCGATTCCACCGAGATTAAAATGACATTGTTAATGTAAAAATGTCATTTTAAACTTCGTTTAACACAACGGTGGAATCGGTCCTAAGATAATTTAGCTACAGCTAAAACTCTAAATACGATAGGCAGAAGACAATGGCAGTATTTGGCAATTATTGCAGTTTAAGTAAACAAATTTAAAACTTACTGGAATTGAACCTGGACAATGGGAAGTAATAAACACATAATTTAAGTTTGTTCTATTATTTATTTGTTACAGGGTTTAAACCATTTACAAAAAACATTGTTATTTATATGCATACAAAAAAATATTAATATTATTAATGTAACAAGCACATATTTGTTTTACTTCAAAGCTCTTACTTCTCACTTTAAATTATAAAGGCATATCTATAAACAACTATTTTATTTAAAAGGTTATTGAGTAGTAATTGGTGGTGCACAAACGATACTAATTCACAGTACCTATCTGTTCAAAATCTTTACCACCAGCTTTAATGCAAGCATTAAACTTTCTTTTTTGAACACATTATGCAGTTTATCTTCAGTTATATTTTGTATATCATTCAATATAGGTACTCCAATTCATAAAAGTCACAAACGATTTTGAATTGAGCGATCTGTAATATTCCATATGTAGGTTGAACAAAATTAAGGTAAAATGATTGTTGCAGTATCGAAACTTTATAGGGGATGCATTATCAGAATTTTTTTTAACTTTATGGCTAGTTCGTAGTGATAAACCTAAAAAAAAATATGTTTTGAATTTCACTCGCCAGAGTCAGTCTTTAAAACACCGTTCATACCTGTTTGAGGTGCTGTTTTTTTTACTAATTTATTGGGAATTAACACCATGTTAATTTGCACATCTTCAACAGCTTTTGTTATTACTTTGGGCATTTTAGACCTTTTTCCTTTTTTTGAACAAGTATTTGTTTATGACGACAAAAAAGAATCACATTCCATTTATTCACCTGGAAAACGTTCCTCAAATTTTCGAATACAATTACGAATATAAAATAATTTTGTTCCAGTATAACATTACCTAAAATAAATTATATAGTCATTAACTTTTTTTTACGAGTTACAGTAAATAAATTTGTACTTACCAACAAAAAAGAATTAAGCCACCAATATTCTCTAAAAATAACTAATTGCTTTATTAATATTAAATGAAAAATTGACTAAGGGTGTTTATAAAATGTAAACAAATATAATATAAATATTGTCAGTCCCCAAATGAACGCCAGTGACATTTCTGACAGGATTGACAGTTCAGTTTAGTTCCTTTTACGTCAAAGCAGGCCCTTTCGATGGGTTTTTGATGGTTATCAGATCACGTGGGTTTCGGGTATTGTTGAAGACCTGGTATAATTATATGTATAATAATTAACAATTATGATAAAAATAAATTTTAATATATGCATAAACTTTACCCCAGGGTAAAGCAGCTCTTCACTCCAACATCCCCACAAACTGGTGATAATTGTCGTTAATGTACAATTTACTTTTATACGAAAAAATTTTATACTTTCAAATTTCTCTATGTAACGGTAACAAATTATATGCAAAACGTGAGTTGGCATTTTTGTTGTAGGTACTCTCAGTAATTTAGAAGTTATACTAGATGTCATAGTTTTGTGCGATATATTAATTTAAGATGCTTATTCTTGTACGTATTCGCTCCGTGCGTGACAGCAGCGCTAATTCACTTTTGTACTAATGGACTATTTTTGCCTATACTGACAATACAATTTTTAATAGAATTCGTAATTAAAAAGTATATATGTTAGTTTTAATAAAACTATATGGGTTTGTAAAACAAGTAAAACATTAATTTATTATTATATATTTTTATCGCTTAAACTAAAAAAAATTAAGTATATTCAATAAAAATCTATAATAAAATAAAGGCAGGAAAAATGTATGTTAAATAATTAGCGTGAAGTTAAAATGTATAAACGGAAGGATTGTTGTCTATATTTTCAATTTTGTTTGAAAGAAAACATAGAATGAATGATTAAACCTGGTTTTCTATCAGTAAGTCACAAAATTGCATTCCAGCCACATATAATAATCAAAGGCAGAAATCTAGTTCTTGCTGCATGAACATTTAAGAATAAAGGGATGTTGAAGAACATCGTGAAATGATATTTATTGTTTATTTAAATCCTTTCAAGTTTCTGATGTCTACCATTTCCAGTATTACTGTTATTAAAACAAAAATAAAGGTAATTTTTCTTCTTATTGAACACATATCCATTTATTTCTTTGATTCAATTTCCACTTTGCTACTGATTTTTTTTTAAATTAACACTTTTTTTTTGGTAGTATTTTTACAATGTTGAACAAACCAACTCCGGTTGCTTATTGTACTATATTTACCTATTTGAATAGTTTTTAAGGTATTATTATAAAGTCCATCCCATACCAGTAAACCATACCTTAAAAGAGATTCAAATAATGATTTATATATCATGATTAACAATTTTTCATGTAAGATTTCTCTTACATGATAAAATTTATGAATTAGTTTGCGAACTCTCTTGTTGTTCATCCCATTTTAAATGCTACATATTTCATTTTTTCAATATTTAAGGATAGCTGATATCCGTCTAACCAATTTTTTATTTTTCCTATCCCAACTTTTACTTTTTCTTTAACAATGTCCATTAAAAATCGCAACTGTGTCATCAGCATAAGATATTATGTCACAATCAGCATCCAGATTCAATAAAGAGTTTATATAGATTATGAACAAAATAGGTTCAAGAACTGTGCCTTGGGGCACACCTACCCTGACTATTTGTGGCATACTTAGGCAAAAATTAACTTTAATGAAATAATTTAAAATGGTTTAGTTCGCCAGAAAGATGTTCTGATGACGAGAATCATCTTGATAACATCACCAGAATGATGCATCAACATGCTGATTTTTAAATTTCCCGCACTTTATAGACACACCAACGAATAATTCACAAATATTTACAGGCCCTCAGCAAGAACTTTTAAATGAACTGTAATATTTTAGCATAGTAATTATGTTAATACTAGTAAACAGAATCATCAGAGTGAATTACCTTAAGTTCACACCAGAAAAAATTCTGCAATATATATTTTTCACTTTAAAACTAAAAACTTGGTTCACTGACAACTGGCATACATGCTCTGTTATCTTTTGCCCACAAACGGAAAAAGGAATTCGTATAGAGCCATCTAAGAAACATCAGTAATACTATATGTTCCAAGTCATCAGAATTACATTTTTAAAGTTACATCAATAAAAATCAATGTAGAAAATAATTTACAGTATTTCATTTTAACATTTATACAACTTTCCCTAATACTTTCAGTGCCTTTAGTAGATCAAAGGATTCACTACTGCAAAAAGAATTTAGACACCAATATGTTCAAAAATATATTTTTTTAATGAAGAGGGATGAAAAAACGTTTCTAATTTGAAAAAACACCCTATAACATATCAAACTAGAAATAAAAAGTTAAGTATAAAAACCATGACTAAAATAATTATTTTCTTAAATTCAGGTATGAATTAAAAAAAAAAAAAAAATATGAATGAAACATATATTTATACGATTATGTAAATATCTATCAATTACTTAAAAGAAAAAGTGGTGAGAATTTTCCATCTATATATGGTTTGTCAAGATGAATACAAAACTCCAATGTAAAAGTATTTTATTTTTTTAAATACTGTAGATAAATTTTGACATTTGTTGCTGCAAAAAATGATAACGAATGACATGCAAATTGTCAATCATGTGACTTTTTAAATGTCAAAATTCAATTTATTAGCAAAATAACGCTTACGTCTTAAAGTATTTTTGAAAATTATAAGAATTCACAAGTTCAAAAACCTGTCATAACATTGTGCCATGGACACTTTTAATCAAAAAACTGCAACATATATAAAATTCAGCAGATTCGATCTTAAGGCATTTGCCATAAGGAAACTGAGGCTCCTTTGTAACAATTGAGGGGTTTTAAATTAAAGAGGTATAAGTACAGATTTTTAATTATTGAGATATTGAAGTCTAAAGTTAAGTGTTGTTTTAAAATTCCTGAAGACCAACTTCATGACTTTTGGTCATTAGTGTGAAAGATAGACTTTAGAAATATACTCGTATGTGTTGTATGTAAATATTTGAAATTAGACAAAAATATTTGTCAAAAACACAAAAATATTTGTCAAAAACGCAAAAATATTTGAAAAAATGCACTTTTAATGTTAACTTAACTTATTAACTTAATTTATTGATCTGGGCAAATACAAAATAGAAATATTTAGAAAGGTAGGTTGTTTTTATTAAAAAAATTAGTCTTATTAATTTTCATAGTCATCATCTAGCTCTTTTTCTTCGAATGAAGTTGTCATCATTTGGCTCTTTTTCTTCAACTGAAGTTGATAATTCAGGTTGCGCTGAAGTAGACTCGTTTAAAGGATATTCTGGTATAAAATTGTATTTATATGCACACCACTGGGAATACTTCATGATGTTATGTGTCTCAAGAATATTGAGAGCTTTAAATTTGTGCTTATTTTAACACCCTTTTTTACATGTTTATAGATGGCTTTATTTGTTATACCTAAATTCACTTGTATCTATTCTCTACTAAATAGAAGAATACTTTAAATTTACAAATTTGCACTTAAATCAAAAAATGAAATGTGCACTTATACCTCTTAAATTTCAAACCCCTCAATTGAAAGCATTTTCATGAAAATAAAAAATTTAAACTTACCTCCATCAAACACTTTTGGCAAGCCAAGTTCTCTCATGACAATAGCTGTGGCCTTCATACGTTTATTTTTTGCATCTAGATCTGGATTGAACTTTACCTCAAATTCATATACACCCCTATCTTTTTCCAAACTTAGTTTAATATGATTTGCTGACAGTTGTATGGGCTTGCCTGCATCACCTAAAATGCAGCAAATTCAGCAAAAATGGAAAAGTATATTTAATGAACATAATAGAAAAATCTAAAACTTGATATTAATACAGACCCTTAAAGAAGACAGGATCTTTTTCAGAAAAACTAATTTCTGAGACAGCCTTGGTTATTTGTTCTATTTTTTCCTTCGATTCAGGAATAATGCTTTGTGAAGGGGAAGGTTCTGCTTTGCTTTCAGGTTCTCCACCTGGTTTAGACATACGTTTTTCACGCATTTTTTGTAACAGGGCAGCCCTACCCCTCGGCTTTGGTGGCTCTTCTTCAGGTGCAGCTTCAGGCTCAACACCAATAGCTTTCTCCTCTTTTTGCATTTGGAGTCGCTTTGCTAATAAAGCTGCTCCACGGCCTTTTGGCGGTGGTCTATCCATTTTTTCTTTGTTTCACTGTTTTACCGTTTTACAGATCTAAAAATGCAAAATAATGTATACATAAACAAATTACATGTAGCATGGCAGTTTAAAGTTGCCTTTACGCATGTACATCTCAATTACCGATCATCAGAAAATAAAGAAAAATTGTTAATATTTAGATTTGTTTTATTTTACAAATTTGATTTATCTCACCACTCACCATTTATAATTAATTACACATTTATTTCAAATGTAACAGCATGTAACAACAACTTGAGATAAGAAAATGATGGATGAAGTAATGATAATGATGGCTGCCCCCAGCGTTGCCAACCTATAAACCCAGTGCTATAGGTGCGTTTTATTCATCCATTCTCTAGTAGAAAAAGTTTGAACAGAATTTGCAAACGCAATAAAACGATAAAATTGTCATCTGTCAAGAATGTCAAATTTAAAATCATCGTTTGATTTATCCATTATCCCGCCCACAGAAATAGTTAATATTAATTTAAAAATGGAAATATTATTACCGATATTTGGAAGTATTGCAACTTAATAATCATTTGCTATTAGCTGCACCAAGATTTTCAGTTGACATTATTAGATTAATTATCGAGAAGTATGAAGTATAAAATTATTTTGTAATATTTTTAATAATTCAAAATATTTACTTCTAGTATGACCAATGATGTTATAGCGAAATCTCAATTTGTTACATACATGTAAACAATAAATAAAATATGCTGTCTTTGTTGAACCAGAAATATTGTCCACTTTCATCCTGTACAATTTGTTCCATTTTTTACAACCTGTATCAGAGTCAAAGATCCAAAGCCCAATTGAATTACGATTTACGAATTTTACGATGACAAAAATAATTAAAAATTATAAGTATTATAACTCATAACCTTACTAATAAAGTATTTTTGGCACATAAGCACAGCATACATAAGTTTGATATACCAATACCCCCCACTTTTTTCATTCCCTTCATTCGGTCAAAATTCACCGAATGAGAAGTTTGAGCGGAATGAATCCATCGATACAATAAAACGCTCATTCTGTTCAGACTTTCCACACCGGTGGCAAAAGATTGAGCAATAAAACGCGCCATAATATAAATCTTTAAATTCACTTTATATACATAGAAGTATCCGGATACTACCCAACTCTGCTAGAATCTAATGTTGAAAATCACCAGCAGTAGGGAGGGATAAAATCAATTATGTTCTATGGTTCTATATGTAGCCTCATGTTTTTTATAGCCTTATATAATTCCATCAATTTAGGTTTTTATTGGATATTTTCCTGTAGAGTTTATACATTTTGTAGGGACCAGTCGTTAGACCTACTATATGTTTTCTCCTGTACTCTTCAAATTGCCCAAATTTCCCTTTGATTGTTTTTCCGAGGAAAATTTGGAATTCAAATTCGAAGACAGATGACCAGACTGAGCATTTGTTTTAATTCTTATATAAGAATAGGGTTCAGGAATGTATATTCCTCTTATATGTTCGTTTCTTGACAGTATAAAAATAAAACCAGTTCACCAAAATCACCAGGTTCTGGTCAAAATCATCAGAATATGGCTCCGATGACAAAAATAATAACGTAATTTTATTTTGTAAAAGCACCAGATCTGGTGATAAATCACCAGCTCTTGCAAGGCTGTGGCTATTCGTGAAAACGGATTTTTCATTTTAGGAGAGAGACATGCGCCGTACGGCATAGAAAATTCCGTACGGCTTGTACCACTGATTGTACGTTGTTAATCTGAGCTTGTAGGTACCTTTTTATTTTTCTATGACTTGTACGGCTTCATACTATTATACCTCCATGTACAGCTTGCATAGTATTTTTCTATGTATCGATATCATCGTAACTAAACATCAATATTTTTAATTTCAATATTTTTAAATTTCAATTATGTTTACACCCAAACAAGCACAGAACTGCAGTCAACCCTAAAGAAAAAATTCCAGTCACGCGCAAAAATCACAGACAGTTCTGTGGAAAAAATAACAGAAACGTAATAAAATAATGGTGTTTGGTATAAAAATGGTAAAACAAAAAATAAAAATACTCTTTTGTAAAAAAGTTGTAAATAAGTGAATTTACAAGCGGAGTTGTCTCGTAATTACTAATTACATTACTATACAGATCAATTACTTTTTACATGGATCCCACATTGCAAACGACCAAATCTAGTTCAAAGTTTAAAGTATTGACTGCTATTGGAGGAATTTTAAATTTAAACAATTTGATTGGTCGATGCACCGTTGTCAAGGGCCAATGCGACAATACGCACCATTTGATGGAAATGTCAATGTCAAAATGTAGTTAGTTCCGATTTATGCCGTTTTTAGCGTTTCGTGCAGCAGTAGTAGCGTTATTAAAATAGTAAACAACAAAATGCCGATGATAGTTTCTGAACTAGCTGAAGAATAAATGCTAAATAATATTTGGAATTTCCAGAGAACGATATACAAAATCGTATAGGTTTGTATAATAATGGATAGCGTCAAAACGGACGATGAGTTAACCTCAACAGTGGGCAATGTCCTGTCAACGTCCAAAGAGGAAAAAAACGATTCAAGTGATGCTACCCCTACGTCTTCAACCGATGCAAATACCAAACCTAAGGCTTCCCAAACAGGTAAATTCCAGATATACGATTATAAATAATTGAAGATCCGCTCACTTAATTCAATTCTACAGAGACCTGATTTCATAATTGCTTCCTACCAAGCAATTACTATATCTGTATAAATAACTGTTTTTGTATTTATACGACATCGATATTGGATAAATTGGTTGCATTAAGTATTGTGTAATGATAATTTATACTTAGTACACTTTAGTACATGTATAGGAATAAAAAATATTAGGTACTACTTATTTTACTTTTGAGATTTTAATTTTTTTTAGATTACCTACATTTTTCTTTTCCTTTAAAATTGATGCTTCATTGTCTAAAACATGATTCAACAGAAATGAAGAGTACATAAATCCTTAAATAAAAATCAACAGGTTATAAATGATTACGAATTTACTGGTACATCAATAATAGCCCTGTGTCTTTGATAGGTTTCTATCCTAAAATAATAAAAGGTTTTTATCATCGATGAAGTCCAGCTTATAGCTGCTCCACTCAATACCAAATTGCAATAATATTTTAATCAAAAGTAGTACAAATAATATAGAATAGAAACCAACTTCACATAGTGTTGCAGTGGATAGGAGATCCTATACATAAGCAATGTTGTGAATTATTTCTGTAAAATATGTTTTAATTAAACATACCCAGCATTTTTACACCTGAAAACTGTGTACTTTTGCATATTTTATTAGGTACATTTTTAACATAAATAAAACAGCCTGTTTTGAAAACTGAAAACGTTACACTACAATAATCATTCAAAATTGAGTCCATTATTTTAAGACATGCTATTGATTCTTTTGGATTTCCGGAGCAACATTGTCTTTTCTACATTATTTGTTCAATGTAAGAACAGCTAAGCTAAATCTCAACCTATGTACTTTACTTTTATGCAATAAGGACGTTTATTAGTATTAATTGTATATCAATCCACTGTATACAAGTTGTTTCATGTGACACCACAAAAATAATAATTGTTGACTATACCAGCCCAAACATTCACGGAAAACTTCCATAGCCTGGTAAATAGAAATGAAAAAAATTCTAATGGAATTAGTGCCAATTAGCCATAATAATAAAGAACGTCAAGCATATTATTCATTATATATTTATTTATTTTATATGGATTTACCATTTTTACATGTTTTAAAAAAATATAAATGTGAAACGGTAAGATTATCTATAAATAAATTCATGTCAATAATTTAATTTTAATTATTTAAGTGATGTCTTGAATGATTAGGCAGATATTCCAAATATATCAATCATGTTCTTATATTTGTTAGCAGTTTGTGTCATACTAGTGATCAGTTCGTTTTGATCATAATTGGTATTATGAAATGCTAAATGGATCAAAATTCCTAGTTCTTCTGTAGTTTATATTGAGGTTAGTTAAATTTAGTATTTATGAGTCTTGAATATAACCATTTATTATTTTATGCAAGAAACAGTCTAATTCGATTCTTCTGTGTTCTAATGTTGAAATATTAAGATTTTCCTTGAGATTTTTGCATAACAATCCTATTTTTAACCGACTTCAAAAAAGGAGGAGGTTCTCAATTCATTTTTTTTAATGGTCAAAATCTAATGATTGGGTCCATGAGAAAATCCTCAAACTCTTCATTTTTTATGTATGTTTAGCGATAATGCTTTACCACCTTGTCTGATTTATATGATTCTTTTTTTGTTAGTAAGGGGGTACCTCAGGGGTGGTTCCATATAAATTTGTTTAAGATGTGGTGATGGCATCTGCACGTTTTTGAAGTCGTTTTTCTTTAAATTTTTAATTTCTAATACTTGTATAGACACAAATTCTTAAATTGAGTACTCTAAAATTGAGCGAACTAGAGAGCAGTAAAGTAATCTACATGTAGATATATTAAAATCATGAACTTACATTGATATAGCAAATAGAGTAAATATTAAAATAAGAAAAAAGATATATACCTGACAAGATTACTTTGCAAAAATGTCAGCCACGTTTGATTGTAGGTGACAATAGAAATGTGAATCAACAAAATTCCTGAAAAATATTGGGATTGTTCCAACAGCAGTACAGAACCTTTTTGAATTTGTGTACAAAAAAATCCCAACCATTTATAATTCGTTGTTCCAACTGAAAATTGGATCAACAATGAACCGTTTTCAATGATCAGATTTGTTGATAATTGTTAGTTGTTCTGTTTAAGTGGTATCATCTTTTTTTTTTTGTTATAGTCATATTTATTGTGAATAATTGGTATTTTTTGTGGTGTACTATATTTCGTCACTAATTATAGAGCACAAATCATATAAACTAGCCAGAAACTATAAATATATAAAAAAGGAACCATTTGGGATCTGATAAGGTACATTTCCACATAAACTTAGTTCAGAACTGAATAAATTGTCACTCATGCTCTTTATCTTTCATTTTTGGAAAGAACAATTTTCCAGGATCCATAAGTAAGGTTGACCTTCATCCATCTGTTTAATGGATAAAAGTGTTTTTTTATTAAATAAGATGTGTTTTTAAATATACTGCAAATGGGTTACCACTAGTAAAGATGTCCACCCAAACGCGAAATTTTCTTCTGAGCGGCAAGGCTGCATGCACATCGTACTTTGCTTTTGCATAGAAACAGACCACCTTAATAGCGATGCTGGTTCAATACATATGTAATGCCTTCAGTACATTTATATAAATTTTTAGTCCTACTTACAGAGTTAGTAAATTAGAGTATAATTCAATAAATTTTTAATTGATCCCATCCCTGCCTTTGTTAATAATACTCTCACAGTTTACTAATTTTATTCATTACCGGCTTATTTTATCCGAGGTTTTTCCTGACTTCTAGAGCTTTGAAGAACGTGAAATTACATTCAGTACATTTTCTTGCTTCTATTTATTAAATTCCTTTTTGTGCTACAGCAAGGCTGTCTAGAACATGTCCCGTTATCCACATGAAGTAAGATTTGCATAGTTGGTTGGTTACAGGTTAAAGTATTTTTGTTTATTTTTTGTGAAAATTGTATATGCAGTTTTAGAAACAATCCACGGTTTTTTTGGCAATCCTCTCTATTCTAGACGGTAAGTTATCGAGTGTGTTGTCTTGTGGTTTAGCAATGTAAACAAAGTAATCATTTTTGAAAAGGGAAAATAATTTAATTTATGATATGATTTATTCCCACAATTTTATCATATTTATAAATTATTCAAATGTGTGCAAAGAATAATCTGGTTTAATATCTACATGTATTTCAATAACACCCTGAATTAAATGGGTCAGACTCTGGGTTTTAAACAATGACAATTTAGTATAGGGTTGGTGTCTATACAAAAAATTATGCTGTAAATATAATAACAAATATGTGATGAAAACACAAAAAAAACTTAGTGTCACTGCTATATTGTAATGTAATTATAATAATAAAATACATAATTAAAATAATCAAATTTGGCTGAGTACTTTTTTTCAATATGGGAAGATTATACCATGTATTTGGAGAACACATATTCTATAAATATTTGGAAATGTCAGGATTATTTAACTAATCCTTTTTTATTTTATTATTTATTCCCTGAATTTTCCATGTTACCCTTTAAAAACATTTATTAGGGTTCGAATGCAATAAAAAGAACAACTATGTCATCACCACTATTTTAAATTTAAAACATTATCTATAACTATTAATAAATAAAGACTAAGTAAGTTATTTGGTTTAAAAACATAATTCCTATATTCCAGTAACATTAACAACATGCCACTAAACCCAGTAGGCGGTGATTGCCAACTTTTGCTGGAACCAAGTGATGACAAAGCTGTGTTCTTATTGTAATCCGACACCTACATTATACAGTTGCAAAATTATCTTTAAAATTGTTTAGTGTAAATTATACATAAATTTACAAAAAAAAAAAAAATACAAATACAGAAATATTTTTTCTTAATAATAATATAATTTTTTTTATACATACACTTTACTTTGGACATTATTTATTTAAAAATATTTTATTAAATTACTTACAAACTAATAACTATTTGTTTACCAAATTACTTTAATCAAAGCAATACATTTCCTAAAAATCGTTTCCTAATGATATTGCCAAAGAAATAAGAGGTTAATCAGAGCAAGAAACTAAAATAGCGAGAGATAGAGCTATACTCCTATTTAAAGCAATTTTAAAAGGATTTCATAGACGTGTAAACCAGTATTAATTGATTGAGCTTCTGTGATTTTATTTGTTTAATGTTAGACTGTTTTTATTAATAAAATTGAAAAATTTGACAACAAGCGTCGTAAAATGTGGTACTTTTATCAAAATTGCATATGGCCATCCACATTTCAGACCGAATTCCAAGAATACAGTGTCTGCTAACTAGCAAGAAAAAAAATTGTAAAAATTTATAGTAAAAGTTCATTCATACACTCTATTTTTGTTTCACTCGCTCAAGAGATGTATGATGAAGACCACAGTTGACCATAACTTTATCGAGAGTGGTGTTGTGCTTTATTTCAACAAAATATCCGCAAAGATATTGGACTAAAATGAATATCCCAAAACGAAATTATTTAATATTTCATTATTTAATTTAACTTTATTGTGGATAATTTATTGATATATTTTTTTAATTTGAAGGTTAAATTGTTGAATTATATTGTATAGGGAAGCACAAGAACTAGACTTCTATGTACATCAAATCATTAAACGAAGTACCAAAACACTAATATAATGCTAATCTCTATATAAGAACAATTTAAAAAAGTGAAAATTTCACATTCGAGCTACAAGGCTAACACAATGTAAACAAATGCGTTTACAGTTATAAATGACAGGCGCGGTAAAATTAATTTGATTCCTGAATACCTTTTAGAAGGAAAGAAAACTCAAAAGTCATTTACCATAGAATTTTATTGTTTAGCGACGACTAGTTTTGGCCTCTATGGACAAAAAAAGTGGTTTACAAAGCGGTTTACGCCGCTGAACAATAAATTTCTGTGGTAAATGACTTTGA